GTCTTTTTCCAAGAAACATATAGTACTATATAGTCTTTAAGCGACCTTTCCAGTAACTTTATATAATAGTAAGATACAATTTATTCCAAAAAAATTCATCGATTCAGAAATTCGAATTCCTTACTAATTTTCCATAATTTATTCCGTTCGGCTCCACCAAATGTGGGACTCAATTAAATATTTTCTTCAGACCAAAACAAAAATTTAATATCATAATGTTATTCTGTTCTGAATAAAACTAAACCATTTTATATTTGTAATTAATATACTTGACTGGTTTAGAAATAATTAGAATCATATTAGATTTTAGTTTAGTTATATCGTAGTGGAGAATCAAACATCTTTATATCCGAAAATTTGTGGTGAAAATTGTACTTTGGGAAAAGATGGTATGTGTAGTGTATTTTATGTATCTAAGTACTAATATATAACTTTATCCAAAAAATGTACTAAATATAATTCATCTGCAAATGTACGAGTATATATATTCGTTGAATTCAATATTTTGGAACTAATGTTTGTTACTTCACATAAATTATTATGTGACACATTGGTGCTGAAGGATATAGTCTTACGCATCAATTCACCAAGAAAAGCATGCAGTTAAGCAAACCAATAATAAACTAATGCCAATAATAAACTTAGTTTATTTTGCATACGTAGCTAGTAATAATAAAGGATCAATTGCAAAAATGTCATTTTTGGTGTGTATATTTGCAAGAATATTATTTAGGGATGTTTATTTGTAAAAATGCAACTAATTATGATTTTTTTAAAACATAAATCTTAAAGTTATAAACCCTAAAAGATGTTTTGACCCCTAAAACCCCTTAAACCTTCAAAACTAAACCTTAATACAATATAGTTAACCTAAACATAAATGATATAATGAATTTTTTTTTTGAAAAATGACATTTTTGCAAAAAAAATTAAAAAGTAGCATTTTTAAAAGTGGCACTTGAAAAGTATCATTTTTAAAAATTTCTCAATAATAAACTTCTTTCAATAATTTGGATTGATATTAATTTTTCCGTTTCCTTCCGTTGTTGGTTGTCCGGGACTGGCTACTAAACTGAAATTCCTATCATTTTTTCTAAATCAATTTAACAACAAAAAAAAAACTTATGACATCTATCCAAACATTTCCGGAAAATATTCGACAT